TTTTTTTTTTCAACGTTTATTTATTTTGGGGACAGAGAGAGACAGAGCATGAACGGGGGAGGGGCAGAGAGAGAGGGAGACACAGAATCGGAAACAGGCTCCAGGCTCTGAGCCATCAGCCCAGAGCCCGACGCGGGGCTCGAACTCACGGACCGCGAGATCGTGACCTGGCTGAAGTCGGACGCTTAACCGACTGCGCCACCCAGGCGCCCCTGGAAGTTTATTTTAATCACGTGTTGTTCTTATACATACACAAGAAAGAAAATCTGAGTGAAATTAATTGGGTCGGATCTCTCTCCAATGCCATATTCAGAGTCTGGCCCTTCCGAACCATTGTTTGGATTCAGCCGTCACTGTCCCCATCTCCCTGCAGAGGGTCATCTTCTGCTCTGTCAGGAGGATTAACACCAGCTGCCCACACCTGTTCCGTAGGCGCTGGTACTGGAGGTTTTCTTGGGAATACTGAAAAACTGCTGTCTTACTAGCGGGCGGGGCCCAGCAGCCAAAATTCCTGTTCTTTCCTTGATTGATCATTAGATGGCTTGTTTGACAGAAATGTTGAGGGATGACAGTTATTCAACCATGCTACCTAGGTGACAGGTTTACAGGAGCTCAGGCAGTCACCTGTATGTCCTGCTGCCCCGCAGGCAAGAACTGTAACACGCCATTGTTCCTAAGATGCATCCATTCCAAAGATGTTAAAAACTTACAGGAGAATTTGTAACTTGGTTTTTTTCACTTGACAATACGTTAAGGAATGGTTTTATGTCAATAAATGTAGATTTATATCTTTTTAAAAATTATGTTTAAAAATAACGCCTAACAGGGGCGCCTGGCTGACTTGGTGGAGCACGCAACTCTTCATCTTGGGGTCGTGAGTTCAAGCCCCTCGGCTGTAGAGATTACTTTAAATTAAAAAAAAAAAAAAAAATTTTTTTTTTTTTTTTTTTTTTTTTTTTTTAGTGTTTATTCTTGAGAGATAGAGACAGCGTGGACAGGGCAGGGACAGAGAGAGACACAGGATCCAAAACAGGCTCCAGGCTCCAGGCTCCGAGCTGTCAGCACAGAGCCCAATGAGGGGCTTGAACTCACGAACCACGAGCTCATGACCTGACCGGAAGTTGGATGGATGCTTAAACGACTGAGCCACCCAGGCACCCAGAGATTTATAAACATTGGTTTAGGGGCGCCTGGGTGGCTCAGTCGGTTAAGCGTCCGACTTTGCGTCAGGTCACGAGCTGGCGGTTCGTGGGTTCGAGCTCCACATCGGGCTCTGTGTTGACAGCTCAGAGCCCAGAGCCTGCTTGGGATCCTGTGTCTCCCTCTCTGTCTGCCCCAACCCCACTCATGCTCTGTCTCTCTCAAAAAAATAAATGAACCTAAAATTTTTAAAAATTGGTTTAGACGGTAAATTTTGTGTGTCATTTTCTTTTAAGAGTTTAAAGTTTATTTTTTTGTAATCTCTACAGCCAGCGTGGGGCTCGAACTCACAACTCTGAGAGTCCCACGCTCCACTGACTGAGCCAGCCACGCGCCCCCATCTAACCCGTTTTTAAGTGTACAGTTCAGTAGTGTTAAGTGTATGCGTATCGTTGTGCAACCGTCGCGACCATCTGTTTCCAGAACTTTTTCGTCTTTCAAATCTGAAACTCTCCCCATAAACAGATAGCTCCTCTTTCTCGCCACCCCCGGCCCTTGGTATCTGCCGTCGCGCGTTGTGTCTCCGCGGAGGACCACTCCGGGAGTCTCACGAAGTAGATCGTACTCATTTTCAGTAACTAGTGATCTGGCTGTGCGTAAGTGGGCTTGGAGTGGCTTTCCCGTTCCCTCACAGACTCGTGCGTCGGCCGCTGTGACCA